GAGTTTGGCCTTAAAGATGGGGGGCAGGGGAGGAGTTGTGTCTCATCCTGGCTGTGCTCGGGTGCGTGAAGTCACAGGATCCTGCTGAATGGCGAAGGGAAAGCAGATCGGGATTTATCACTTTCTCTTTCCCGCCACAGCAGACCTAGGAGTTGGAAAAGGAAACTATTAGGTTGGCAGTTTCCAGCTGTCAGGGGGCGGTTCTCTTTCAGGCTGTATTTCATTCAGGTGTGACATTCTCCCTGGCCACTGGCTGTGAGGGACGTGGGGAGTTTTTCCCAACTCCAAGAGGGATGGGTCAGGCTCTTGAAGGAATGGGGCAGAGGAGCTAGGAAGCAAGGGAGTGAGAAGTGTGGCCTCAGAGTCAGGGCTTCCTAGTTTTTAAATGTCAGAGGCTGCAAGTGAGAGAGGAACAGTGGGGAAAACCCCTGGTGGTTGCCAGTTTAGTTTCTTTGGGTAAATCCAATATCTTCTATTAGACCGACTCAAATAGAATCAGAAAATTAGGGTTGGAAGGGACCTCAAGGGGTCACCTAGTCCAACTCCCTGCTCAAAGCAGGACTAACCACAACTAGATCGTCCCAGTCAAGGCTTTGTTGGAAACATGGGACAACTTGCATAAGAAAATTGAGGAAGAGAAGCATTCAGCATGTAAAGTAGTTTTGCAGCCAACAAGTCCTATCATCAGGAAATAAAGAGCTCTATTCTCCCCAGCATCACCTGGGGTGATGAGGAACAATGGTAATAAGCTGATGGAGAATAGGTTTAAGCTAAATATCAGGAGGCAATATTTTACAGTTAGGGTGGCCAGAATGTGGAACCAACTTCCTAGGGAAGTGGTCCTTGCCTCTACCTTGGGTAAATTCAGAAAGAGGTTACATGATCTCCTGTCTGGGGTCTTGTGAACCCAGCATTCATTCCCGCCTGTGGCAGGGGGGTCAGGCTAGATGATCTGTTCAGGTCCCTCCTGACCCTAACTACTATGAAACTATGAAGTGATATTAGATCATCTAAAGGCTGGGCATCATAGGCACTGACATGACAGGGTAGTGATAGGGTGAAGGAACACTAGGGCAGTCAGCCCTGTGGGGAAGGGCCGCACTTTGGACTACATATAGCAGAGAAGTCGCTGCATTGATAGCCAGGTCCTGAATAACCCATTGCTGCGCAAGAGGCTCAGTGTATTTATATGCCTCTTTGGTTTGTATAGCCTGTTTTTTATATGTAACATCAGGTAGGAAGAAAAGACAGGAGTCAGATAGGGCTGAGGCAGTAGAGCCAAGGAGATAAAGAACACTGTTAGTTTGCTAGCATGGTAACATCCTTAGCTCCAGTTGGAAACATGCTTCTTAGCAAGCTTTCAGGCACAAACCGCCAGCTTGCTAAGAAGAATTTGTCCAACTATTTGGGTCGGTCTAATAAAAGATATCAAATTTATGCAAAGAACCTTGTCTGCCTGTGTCTTTAGACAAACACAGCTACAATCTACACCCCTGGTCATAGCCAGGTCACGTTCCCTTTCAGCCTCTGCTCTGTGCCACGGACACAGTGATACTGAGCAAGATGGACTTATGGTCTGACCCAGTCAGTGGCAGTTCTTGTATAGTGGGAAAAGTGTTCTTGGCATGTTTAATGTAGCAAGGAAGAGGGTCTGGATAGCCAGCTCCCTAGCTGTCAAGCCCAGGAAGTGGTCAGTAAGCTGTCATGGTGGAATCATGGGTGCCCCTGGTTTATTGAAAAGCTGCATGTGACCTTTTTTTCAAAGGTCTCATGCAGCCATGCTGAGTTTGGCATTTGTTCCCTAGGTCTGTGTTTGCTGTTTACCTTGCTGCAAACTGCAGTGGTATGATATTTAACAGTGCAGCCTTTTTATGGCATAAGCACATCCGTGTGCACTGTAACACACAGAAGGATTTAGACGGGGTCAATGAACGCAGCATTTGTACGGTCTCTTACCTGAGCAAACACGCAAGGATTTTGTTGAGGCTGAGTCACAGAATTCAGATCCTTTTTAAACTGGATGATGACAAGTTGGTATTTATTCAATTTAAGAAGTTGGCCATTGCAGGTGTTTATTAACCACACCCCACTTTTAATACTTTTCATCTCTTGTTTGCTGTGTGAAAGACCTACAGAAATGGGGAGCACTGAGTGACACTGTGAACTATGCTACAGCTGAATGCAAGGAGTAACCAGTAGAAATAGATGCTTCTTATTACTCAGTTACACTGATCTTGGATACTGTGTGACTACACTGCTTCATTAGTCCCCTTCTAGTAGACTAGCTCACAGGCATCTTCAGATTTCAGTTTTGAATCTATACCATAGTCCATAGAGGCAAGTTTGAAGTTTAAATCTGTTCCATCTTCATTCAGAAAATCACTCTACTTGATTTAAGATGGGGGACTTGAAGTGAGGAGAGGTTTAAAAGGACTTAATCCAAGCCCCCAAGGTCTGGAATAGACTGCCACCAGAGATGGTTCAGGCACTCCTTCAAGAGAAATTTGAATGTTTATCTTGTTGGAATCCTATGACCCCTGCTGACTTCGTGCCCCTGGGGCAGGGGGCTGGGCTTGAAGATCTTCCAAGGTCCCTTCCAGCCCCAACGTCTATGAAATCTATGAAATAATGGCTCATCTTCTATTTGCCACACATCTTAAATGAGCCGAAAGTTGAATATTATCCTGTTCACAAAAAAGTGCTTGAACTTACTGCTGCGAACCAAGCAAAATTCTTAGTTTTCAACTCAATGTCCACAGTTCATCCTCCTTTCATATAATTACCTTGTGGCTTATAAAGCCTTCCTGTTCCTTGCAGGCTTTCCAGATAATTATTGGGTAGTTTTTGATTGCCATTAATGCAGTAGTTCTCTGACTGTGGTGTATAGAAGGCTGATATTTCTCAGAGTACTGTGTGGTTGTGTAATGTTGAGTTATCTTGATTGCAGTTTCAAAACTGCATTTAAAGGAACCTGACTGTATAGTGAACATTTTAAATATTTCCTTCCAATTAAGCAGTTGCTGTAGTTGACACACACATTTTAAACAATTGTTGAATGTGGGAAGTGATCCACATACAGTGTGTCTGATTATAAATTAACTTTTGCACAAGCACAATTCTTCCTCTTAGAGAGAGCTAACAGAGGGTATCAGGAGTACTGTGGCTAGAAATAATGAGCTATTTCTGAAATTGTGAAAATCAGTTTCTGCTGATAGACTTGTTCTGGTGTATATAATTTAAGAGGGAGTTCATCTAGACAGATGCATAATAGACTTTCGGCAGCAAATTTACTCTGTTTTGACCAAAATGATCGTGTTTGGTTTTGACCAAAATGATCCTGTCATAGTCAACAAAAAAGTTCCCATTATTTACTCAGGCAGTGAAGTTTTCTATTTGCTAGGTAGCCTTAATTTGCTTATGTATAGGGTATTAGTACTGTGCATAAATAGGAAGTAGGACTTTATAATAGTTTGGGGTAAGAATAACACAATTTAATGAGAAACTGGAGTAGGATTGAAAATATGTGTCTAAAGTTTAGTCCCTTAGTTGAATACAGATAAACTGAAAATCATATTTAAACTATCTTGGTTAAATATAGGACTGTTGTATTTTATGAAAGTTTTGCCATAACACTTCATATTTCTCGCCTCCTAGAAATCAATGAAAGGATTCTTTTTTGCTAAGCTGTATTATGAAGCAAAAGAATATGAACTTGCTAAAAGGTAACATGCATTAAAAACATTGTTTTTAACTACTATGATGGCTAATTACATATTATTATTATATAGCTATTTATCATATGTACTTTAAATATCAAAACCGTGTTAATTTCAGGTAGTGTTCAGTGCATCTTATCCTTGATACAACTTGATAGAGCGAGAGAGAATTACAGCAAGAGGTGGCGGGTGTGGGAGTAGAGAACCTGAAGGAAAATTGGGAATAGAAAAGTAAACCTGCTCTTTGAGAGAGTCACAGTTCTACAGCACAGTATACATTTGTTGGTTCTTTGTGCTATCCAGATATTTATTAGCAAGTGTAGCATCGTTATGTACCAGATAAACACTGTGTGCTGATTTGGGGCTGCAGAGCCAAATGCTGTGGTTTTAACCCTCACTATTCAGCACAAGAATGGGTTAAGCTTTTAGATTTTTTTTAAAGTAGTGATCAGGAAACTTTTTTTCTTTTTTTTTCTTTCTAGGTATATATCAACATACCTTAGCGTACAAGAGAGAGATCCAAAAGCCCACAGATTCCTCGGCCAGCTCTATGAAGCTGAAGATAATATAGAAAAGGCTGTGGGTTGTTATAAGGTAAGTAATAGGTTATCCTGCATTCTATTTGAATTATGTAGAATTCAGAAAAGGGAGTCAGCTTTTTTTTTCTATTTGCTTTTTGCTATACAAAGCAGATAGGAGGCAACTGTGCTGTATCTAAGTGAACAGTCTGATAAAGCTTCTTCTGTTGTCAAATGCACAAGATAAAAAATGGGGAAGAAGGATTCCTCTGTTTCTTCCAAACTGTTTTTTGCATGGTAATTACACCAATGATGAATTAAACAAAATTTAGACAATTGTAACACTATCTGTGTCCAACATCAGTTCCACAGCTGATCTTTAAAAAGCTCTACTATTTAACTCTTTCTGCATTGAAAAGAGTTTTCCATCTTTAGGTTCTAAGATTCTTGTGTACCTCCAACCTGATGAGTCTAACTACTAGTAAAATATATTATAGAAGTAAGACAAATGATAGTTGTTCTGGATGTACATGGCTGTAAAACTACCACAATAAGTATCTTCCCCTTCTTTAAGATTTTGCTGCTAACAGATTCAAAATGCATCTTGGTAGAGTACTATTCCCAGGAATTTCTAAAGGTATCTTTATGGCCCATTTCAAACTTTCCAAGTACATATTGATCACCAGTATTGCTCTTCATAGTTAGAATTCATGTTTGTTCTAGTTATACTATAGATAAATGTTGAAATGTTCCATGCTGTCTGCAAAAATAAGTCGTATCTTGTGTTTGGGAAATAGCGCTCAGTGGAGTTGAACCCAACTCAGAAAGACCTTGTACTGAAAATTGCGGAATTACTGTGTAAAAATGATGTTACCGATGGAAGAGCAAAATATTGGGTTGAGAGAGCTGCTAAACATTTCCCTGGAAGCCCTGCTGTGTACAGATTGAAGGTAAATTAATCCACCTTAGTTTTATCATTAACTTCTAATTTGCATGCTCTTGTTTTTTTTTAAAACAAAGAAAGGCAATTTAGGACACAGGCAATTTGATATAGTGATTTCATCTTTTCTAACCTTTTTGGTTACGCTTTTTGAGTGTATTTGTTTTCTTTCTCCCTTGGTTATTGAATCTGCTTATTCTTTGACCACTGCAAATCACCACACTTTGACAGTCTTGTAATAAATATTAACATAAAGATTACAACTGAGGCATAGGAACCATTGTTTTGGTTTTTTTTCTACAGTGGTCACCACATATTGATTTTTACTCTAGGAGCAGGGTTTCTATGTGCTAGGTAGTGTAGATACTATAACATTCTTACAAGTGGTTTGAAGATTCTTTCCAGAGAGAGTTATAGGAGAAACTTAAATCTGATTTCTAGTCCAGAAATCGGATAATAAAAGGAGAATCTACTGATCATAGGGTATTCTTGGTTTTCATGGATAGCAAGTTAGCAGACCTTTATACTGTTCCTGGATTGTTCTTGTCTAGTACTGATTTTTTTTTTTTTTTTCTGATCGGAGTTAATGGCTGATTATCATATTTACAGCCCCTTCCTAGGTTTGGAGTCACAGCTGCTGCCTGTCCTTCTGCACTCTGCTATCTACCCCTGCAGCCTCTTTGCCTTCCTCCCCCACCTTCTATGCATTGTCTGATCCCTCACCTGGCCTTCTCCCTCCCTACCTGTTACCGTTGCTCTGCACTGACAGGCTCAATCCATGCTGCATCTGGGGCATTAAGCACAATTTCAACCTGGCCCTGTAGCAGCTGTGTGGGCTGCATGCCACTGCTGCAGGGGCTGGGCTGGAGGTGTGCTCATTGGATGGAGCTTGCATGGGGGTAAAGGGGGGCAGAGAGCAGAGGATGGCATGGGAAGGATTGGAGGGAGAACAGAGAGAAAAGAGGGGCAGGCGCAAGCAGGGGGAAAGCTGCTTGATCACCTACCTTCCTGCAGCAGTGGGGGCATGAATTAAAGATTGACCCTTCAATAATTAGATGCAATACATGTAAAATTATGGAAAATTTATAAATTTGTTAGGTATAGAATCTAATTAGAGGGAGTTGTTTTAAATTCAAGGTTGTCATCAATTTGAGCAAATACTATATGGCAAGTCTCAGGCCCTGCACTAGTAACCCTCAGACCTTGTTTATTTCTTTAGAGTTTCTTGGGAACAGTTGTAAATACTTCAGTAGTCAGACTTCAGAAGTTTTTAAATAAAATTTGGGGTGTTTTTGGGGGTTTTTTTTACATATAAGGCAATTGTGTTAAGTATGAATTGTATATCATGAATTCATTGTACATAAACATTTTCTTTTGTGTGGCTCTGAGGGCTTAGCATGCATGTTATATAGTAGCTCTTTCAGAAAGTGGACTATTCTGATGGTTTAATTTTTATTATCTTGACTTTGAATAAATGCTTTGGTCCTTTAAATATGTTTGTTTTGGGTTTGGATGCTCATGAATATAAGATGTGAGACTTCTGTTGCTTTTCAAAGTATAATTAGTATGCTTTGGAAGGGTATCTCCAGAAACACAGTATGACTTGATCTATGTATAGGTGTATAACTTTCTTCTGCATTGGGAACAGAATACCTCCTCCCAAAAATGAATTTGTGGCTAGATAAGCTGCAGTAAGAGACCTCTAATGGACTTTTCTGTCAGTAAAACAAAGCTAATTACTGATACAACAGAATTCTGATGTGCTCTTAAACCCATCCCAAAACATGTTTAAAGATGCAAAATATCAATTACTTCTGTTAAGGCTTATTAATGTTAATTTAATATTTTAAATAAATCTGAAAGCCCTCTTCAAACCAGTCCAACCTGTATGAGCAGAAATAGCAAAGTTAGTTGCGTGGTTAAATGGCACATAAAATCATAAACATGTTGGTTTTGTTTTTTAATAGGAGCAGTTACTGGATTGTAAAGGCGAGGATGGATGGAATCAGCTTTTTGACCTGATTCAGTCAGAACTCTATGCAAGACCAGATGATGTCTATGTAAACATCAGGCTAGTTGAACTCTACCGGTCAAATAAGCGACTTGGAGATGCTGTGGCTCACTGCTGTGAAGCAGAAAAGAAGATAACTTCTCGGTCAAGCTTGGAATGGTGTTCCTGTGTTGTACAGACACTTAAGGTATGCTTATTTGTAATATAGGCTCTTGTGGGG